TTTCCTGGTGGTTTTGCCTCCTGTCTTGGGATAACTCTGATGTCTTTCCTGGTGGTTTTGCCTCCTGTCTTAGGAATTGGCGGAACTCGTTTTATGTTCCAGCTAAAATAGCTCTGTTTTCTTTCTCACCGCGCGGTGCCATCTTGTGGGCATTTTGGTTTCTGAGTTGAGCCATTTACTTTTAGGTCAGTGTAGTTTAGGAACTTCAAACATCCAGGGTTGCTACTCCCCAAAGGGAATTACATGGAATTACGTATATGATATATACCCTGAAATGGAAGAGACCCAATTTCTTGCAGAACTACATACATAGAATATAGGTCCCCAGTGAAAATACTCATCAGCTTTTGAGGAACACCACCCAATTCCATTGGTTTTCATTGCAAAATAGTTTTTTTTTCATAGTTCTACGACACCGGTCGTGGGGGGTACCCTTCGGTGAGCCTGAAAAACTCATTTTTTTAATGCAATATAAAAAGAAATTGATCATTTCGGGGGACCTGTTTTTTTTTTGAAACGTTCTAGTTTAGGAACTTCAGACATCCAGGGTTGCTACACCCCAAAGGGAATTACGTATATGATATATACCCTTTTACATGGAAGAGACCCAATTCCTTGAAGAATTACTTACATAGAATTTAGGTCCGCAGTGAAAATATTCATCAATTTTTAGAGGAACACCACCCAATTCCATTTGTTTTCATTGCAAAATATGTTTTTTTTTCATAGTTCACCCCGCGATTGCCCCAGCAAAACGCGTTGCAACACACTTTCCATGCTGAAATCGCAGTTGTCCCTTTGCGGAACTGGTTTGAATCACAGGCGGCTGCAGCAATCCATGTTTCTGTCAAAAACCTGAAACGATTTATTTTCCTGGATCAAAATGGATAGCCGGAAATATTCTATGTATATGTTGTTTTTTTCCGATTCCGGAAGATGTTTTTATTCTATGTATAGGTGTTTTTACCGATTCCGGGAGATGTTGTTGAGGCCGAAATTATCGATTTTGTATTCTATGTATCCCATCGGGATTATATAATATATTATATGTACTCACAATTTTTTGCACATATCTGTACAACTTGAAGGGGAAAGCGTTCTAACTGCTAAAATGCTGGTTAAAACAATGTCAAAGGGAACTTTTCTATTTGCGGAAATGCTGGTAGAAAACAATTTCAAGGGGGAAACATTCCAACTGCTGAAATGCTTGTGTAAAAAACAACTTGAAGGGCGAAGCATTCAAACTGCTGAAAGGCCGGTAAAAAACAAGTTCAAGGGGGAAGCATTCTAATTGCTGAAATGCTGGTAGAAAAACAATTTCAAGGGAGAAACATTCTAACTGCTGAAAAGCTGGTAAAAAACAATTTCAAGGGGGAAACATTCTAACTGATGAAATGCTGGTAAAAAAACATTTCAAAGGGGTAAGCATTCTAACTGCTGAAATGCTGGTAAAAAGTAATTTCAACGGGGAAACATTCTAACTGCTGAAATGCTTGTGTAAAAGCAACTTCAAGGGGGAAGCATTCTAACTGATGAAATGCTGGTAAAAAACCATTTCAAGGGGGAAACATTCTAACTGATGAAATGCTTGTGTAAAAAGCAACTTCAAGGGGGAAGCATTCAAACTGCTGAAATGCTGGGAAGCATTCTACCTGCTGAAATGCTGGCAAAAGCAATTTCAAGGGGGAAGCGTTCATTGCAGGAATGCTGGTAGAAAGCAATTTCAAGGGGGAAGCATTCTAACTGCTGAAATGCTTGTGTAAAAAACAATATGAAGGGGAAACATTCTAACTGCTGAAAGGCTGGTAAAAAGCAATTTCAAGGGGAAAGCATTCCAACTGGTGAAATGCTTGTAAAAAACAATTAAGGGGAAAGCATTCTAACCGCTGAAAAGCTGGTAAAAAGCCGTTTCAAGGGGGAAGCATTCTAACGTATGAAATGCTGGTAAAAAACCTTTTCAAGGGGGGAAGCATGCTAACTGCTGAAATACTGGTAAAAAACAATTTCAAGAAAAGCATTCTAATTGCTGAAATGCTGGTAGAAAAGCCATTTCAAGGGAGAAACATTCTAACTGCTGAAATGCTTGTGTAAAAGCAACTTCAAGGAGGAAGCATTCTAACTGATGAAATGCTGGTAAAAAGCCATTTCAAGGGGGAAACATTCTAACTGATGAAATGCTTGTGTAAAAAACAACTTCAAGGGGGAAGCATTCTAACTGCTGAAATGCTGGGAAGCATTCTACCTGCTGAAATGCTGGCAAAAGCAATTTCAAGGGGGAAGCGTTCTAATTGCTGAAATGCTGGTCGAAAGCAATTTCAAGGGGGAAGCGTTCTAATTGCTGAAATGCTGGTAGAAAGCAATTTCAAATGGGAAACATTCTATTCTAACTGCTGAAATGCTTGTGTAAAAGCAATTTCAACGGGGAAGCATTCTAGCTGCTGAAAAGCTGGTTGAAAAAAAATCAAGGGGGAAGCATTCTAACTGATGAAATGCTGGTAAAAAAACATTTCAAGGGGGGAAACATTCTAACTGATGAAATGCTTGTGTAAAAAGCAACTTCAAGGGGGAAGCATTCTAACTGCTGAAAGGCTGGTAAAAAGCAATTTCAAGGGGGAAGCATTCTAACTGATGAAATAATGGTAAAAAACAATTTCAAGAAAAGCATTCTAATTGCTGAAATGCTGGTTAAAAAAACAATTTCAAGGGGGTAAGCATTCTAACGGCTGAAATGCTGGGAAGCATTCTAACTGCTGAAATGCTGGCAAAAGCAACTTCAAGGGGGAAGCGTTCATTGCAGGAATGCTGGTAGAAAGCAATTTCAAGGGGGAAGCATTCTAACTGCTGAAATGCTTGTGTAAAAAACAATATGAAGGGGAAACATTCTAACAGCTGAAAGGCTGGTAAAAAGCAATTTCCAGGGGGGAAGCATTCCAACTGCTGAAATGCTGGGAAGCATTCTACCTGCTGAAATGCTGGCAAAAACAATTTCAAGGGGGAAGCGTTCTAATTGCTGAAATGTTGGTAGAAAGCAATTTCAAGGGGGAAGCATTCTAACTGCTGAAATGCTTGTAAAAAACAATTTCAAGGGGAAAGCATTCTAACCGCTGAAAAGCTGGTAAAAAGCCGTTTCAAGGGGGAAGCATTCTAACTTCTGAAATGCTGGTAAAAAACCTTTTCAAGGGGGGAAGCATGCTAACTGCTGAAATACTGGTAAAAAACAATTTCAAGAAAAGCATTCTAATTGCTGAAATGCTGGTAAAAAGCCATTTCAAGGGAGAAACATTCTAACTGCTGAAATGCTTGTGTAAAAGCAACTTCAAGGGGGAAGCATTCTAACCGATGAAATGCTGGTAAAAAGCCATTTCAACGGGGAAACATTCTAACTGCTGAAATGCTGGCAAAGCAATTTCAAGGGGGAAGCGTTCTAATTAATTGCTGAAATGCTGGTAGAAAGCAATTTCAAGGGGGAAGCGTTCTAACTGCATTCTAACATCTGATGATATTCATAGTGCGAAGGCATTCTAAGTGAGGGATTTGTGCAAAGGGTTCTCCAAAAACAAAAAAACTTAAAACCCGGGTGGGGAGGCATTCTAACTGAAGGATTTTTTGCCGTGCGCGGGCCGCATTCTAACTGAGGGGGAGGAATATTTGGAATTCGCGGAGGCATTCTAACTTTCATTTTAACGGTATATATATATATATATTATGCATATATATATATATACACATATTTGTATATACAGAGATGTATATGTATGTACACCCCCATATCAATATCAAATTTAGAGTATTGAAAAACATATCTTCTGACTAGGCCCAGGCTTATATGTTTTGTGAACAAGATATCTAAGATTGGATCTTGACCATGGGTCTCCAGCATAGTGCATCATATTCTACCCAAGATATGGTCAAGATACACATTTAGTACATATATATCTATCTAATCTATCTATCTATCTATCTATCTATCTAATTTACCTTCTATCTAATACCCGTACGCTCCATTGTGCTGGAATATGTATCAACATTTATCCCATATTTATCACCAGGGAGCATATCTAATATGTAATTCAATGATCGGTGGGAAAATTTACAGCGGGTGCCAGAATTATAGAACGGAACCATAGAACGGAGCCAGGAGTACAAAAGTACGGTAAAATACCGTACCTTTGTACTCCTCCGGGTTCCGTTTCCGCGTGGAGTCGGGAAATTTAATTATAGAACGGGGCCTGGGAAACATTAATTATAGAACGAAAATGGGAAATGTGAGAAAAATGGGGGAAAACAGAATTATAGAACAGCAGCGCTCCGAGAGGAATTATAGAACGAAAATGGGAAATGTGAGAAAAATGGGGGAAAACAGAATTATAGAACAGCAGCGCTCCGACAGGAATTATAGAACGAAAATGGGAAATGTGAGAAAAATGGGGGAAAACAGAATTATAGAACAGCAGCGCCCCGACAAGAATTATAGAACGGGGCCCGGGAAACATTAATCATAGAACGGGGCCCGGGAAACATTGATTATAGAACGAAAATGGGAAATGTGAGAAAAATGGGGGAAAACATAATTATAGAACAGCAGCGCTCCGACAAGAATTATAGAACGACGAAAAAAGTTAGGAGTAAATTCAGATACGTTTTTTTTTTCACACCTTCCGAGGAAAACAGAATTATAGAACAACAGGGTACGGTAAATAACCGTACCTTCGTACTCCTCAACTTCCGTTCTATAATTCCGGCACTGACAGTACACCGGGAAAGCCCCATATGTCATGGGAAAATCGATGGTTTCCGGTTAAGATATGAAGTGTGTATATATATATATATGTATATATATATATGTATATATATATATATATATCTGTGAGTCTGTGAAGAGTAAATATCTGTGTATATAAATCTTAAAACCAATCCATTGAATAAGACCCAAAGGAACATGTCAGGCTGTGGCCGTGTTTGACACGGACTTTTGGTCCACCGGTTGCAACAACGAGCTGATGTTGGCCATCAATCAGCCGGGTGCCAACATCGACAACCGAGGCGACGAGCTGATGTCTGGCCAGGAATTCCCGCAATGCAGATTTTGAAGAGGAAAATAAGAGGAACAGGTAGGAAACTGTTCATAAATGGAGGTTTGAATTGGAAGCTCATGGAAATATGATAGGAACATGAAGGAACATGTTCATAAATGGAGGTTTGAATTGGAAAGCCCATGGAAAAATGATAGGAACATGAAGGAACATGTTCAGAAATGGAGGTTTGAATAGGAAGTGCATGGAAATATGATAGGAACATGAAGGAACATGTTCATAAATGGAGGTTTGAATGGGAAACTCATGGAAAAATGATAGGAACATGAAGGAACATGTTCATAAATGGAGGTTTGAATGGGATATTCATGGGAACATGATAAGAACATGAAGGAACATGTTCATAAATGGAGGTTTGAATTGGAAAGCCCATGGAAAAATGATAGGAACATGAAGGAACATGTTCATAAATGGAGGTTTGAATGGGAAAGCTCATGGAAAAATGATAGGAACATGAAGGAACATGTTCAGAAATGGAGGTTTGAATAGGAAGTGCATGGAAATATGATAGGAACATGAAGGAACATGTTCATAAATGGAGGTTTGAATGGGAAACTCATGGAAAAATGATAGGAACATGAAGGAACATGTTCATAAATGGAGGTTTGAATGGGAAAGCTCATGGAAAAATGATAGGAACATGAAGGAACATGTTTATAAATATGCTGGTTTGAATGTGGAAATCATACGAACATATGGGAACATGTTTGCAAATGGAGGTTTATAGCCGAGAAAACCATCTATGGTGTATAGATGGTGTTTCTCATGGATTTTCCAGCACGCCATGCTTGATGACACCGGAGGGTAACCTGGAGTGAAGCCCTTTGTGATCAGTAAACCTTGATGCTCCATGCTGCTCCAGATGTTTTTTCCTTTGGTTGGTGGGGGTGATAGAGGAAAATACCCCATGGAAAGGCTAAGACATCTCTCTCCCTCTCTCCCTTCGTACATATTGTACATATCCATGGAGACACACGCATATATATATATATACACACATACATATATATATACATACTTATGTATATACATATCATATATGATATACACACATATCTATTTATGCATATGATATACTGGTGAATGATTTGCTCTGGTAGACATGTAAGCTGCTGTTGGCGCCATGCCAAGCTCCGCACAGCTGTGTTTTCTACAAGAGCAAGCGTGACCTGAGATGGCAATGTAAACATATACAACTGACAGGCTCCCAGGAGTCTTTTTGAGAAACAGATGCAGGAAGCAGCTGAATATGTTTGGAGGAAAAACATGGTTTCCAGTTCAATTTTTCCTTTGAATAAATCGAGGCGTGTTTTGAGTAAATGTGCACGTGTCCGAATAATCCTATTTTGCAATCAGCCAGATCACCATTTTGCCAAGATTGTGTTCAGGGACAATCTGCAGGAACCCCCATTAAATCATCAGTAAATCATCTTAAATCCCTATTAAATATTATCGAAGGTGTTCAAAAAATCCCTATCGTTGATGATGAAATTGCATTAAGTACCATTGAATCCTTGTTGATGGTCAAACTCAATAAAATCTTTAAAAAAAACATTATATAAATTCCATTAAGTGATGGTTAAGTCCCATCAAATGATGGTCAAATCCCAATAAGTGCCAGGCACTTTTCCCTACTTCATGAACGTCAACAAAGCTTGGCCCAGCACCAACGCCTTGCTGGGCTTCGCGACGGGGCGCTACGCCATAGCTTCGGAGCAGAAGACCGACGCGGAGGTTCAGGCCGGTGCCCCTTACTGTATGTAGATACCTGGTTCACACACACACACATATATATATATATTATTATTATTTTAAAAAAACATGAACCAAAAAAAACAATATACCTTCACAAAACATGAGCAATCCCTCATGTTGACTGACAGAACCAAGCTATACGTTTAGGTCATGATATTTTTGTTCCATGGCACTTCCATGATGTGAAGCCAACCTTTAGGATCCTTTACCCAGTACCAGCCTGTTCGAACAGGCTGATTTCATGTCCCGGATCCGGCAGCAGTTTCCCAACGCGCCGGAGCCCACGCAGTTCAAGCGAAACCCAGCTGAGCGGGTGCCAACGCGTTTGCTAAGTTGGTTTCTTGTAGATACATGGTTAATCTATGGTTAATGGTTAATCTATGGTTAATAATGGTTAATCTATGGTTAATCTATGGTTACGAATGGTTAAGAATGGTTAATAATGGTTAATCTGTGGTCAATAATGGTTAATATATGGTTAATAATGGTTAATCTATGGTTAATCTATGGTTAATCTATGGTTAATCTATGGTTAATCTATGGTTAATAATGGTTAATAATGGTTAATAATTATTAATCTATGGTTAATAATTGTTAATAATGGTTAATAATTGGAATAACAATATATCTGGTTGGTGGTTTGGAACCATGGAATTTTATGACTTTCCATATGTTGGGAATAATCATCCCAACTGACTTTCATATTTTTCAGAGGGGTTGAAACCACTAACCAGGAATGTACAAACCATTTTGTGCATACTTGTTTGAAACCAACTAGACGCTACGGATGTTTCTCACACATATATCTATAACTATTTTTTTGGTGCATTTGTGGCCAATGAAGGAAGAGAAACCACCAAACATAACTGGGAGGCACCACATTGTAGGAATTAATCTGGCTGGACAGCCCCAGCCAATCTTTGTAATTTGGAACCAGGACTGTGTTGACGATAGGTTTCATCAGGTTTCTAATGGTATCTATCAGGAATATATAATCTATGGTTTCTAGGTTTCTGCTTAGATGGTATCATGATTTCTGGTTTCTATGGTTTATATGCCATGATTCGCTCCGCGTCTTGGTCCATAGAAATGTGGACAGGTCCTTCGTCTCGTGGGGATGTTTTTTTTGTCTTGAATTCTTCGGTCCCCATGACTTGGCTGAGAAGAGCGGGGTGTATTTCATATATGTCGGCATATGGTTAATAAAATGGTTAATCTATGGTTAAGAATGGTCCATATGATCTGGGCATATGTTTTTTTCTCGGCATTTCAGGTTTTCCACTATGCCAAAGCCCAGATGTTTGATGGTGCCACCTATCAGCGTTGAGTCGCCCGTGAACTCCCACCTGTTGGTCAAAGAAAAGAGGTATCCCCATGTAGGGATGGCCTTAAAGATCCAGAGATCAATCGGTTTACCGATTGGTTAAGCCTGATACTTCAAACTCAAGATTTTTTGATCAAAATCCATTTTTTTTAAACAAATCTTAAATATCTTAAATCTATATCTAAATCCATATTCAAGTATCTTAAATCCATATCCAATCATGGGTTAACCCGGTTAACCCCCCTGTTCTGTAAGAATCCTTCGGATGGGAAGTTACTTGGAGGATCTTCCCACGCCTCGTGGTTCATCTTCCGGTTTCGTAAGTTGAACCCCCCAAAGGTGGAGACGTATATCGCCATGAAAAGCGTGAGCACCCAGAATGTTTGATGCTTCGACACACTCACACACACATACTGTATATAATATATGTATATATGTAATTTATACTATGCATGCAATGGCATACATAATCATATATACATATATATGTAATATCACTCACCAATTAAACATATTAAAAGATGCATTTTTCCAAGGAGTTGGTTCTGTTTTGGGGGGTGGAGCATCCCCATCTCCATCTCGTTCCAGTTGAATTCCGGCATCCAAGGAACCCAGTGGAGCAGCGATGAATTTGCGCTGCTGGGTGCGTTAAACGGTGAAGGAAATGAGGCCATACCATCTGATTATTTAACATAGCCATGGTATAGATGGCCCATAGAAATAGATGGTTTAAATAACATTGGGATTTTCTATGGCGAACTGTTAAATAACCAGACGGTACCACATTTTTCCCTCTACTTGGGAGTGTATTTTGAAGGAATGAGATGATTTGGCTTGTGGTGTTAAATACTTCAACAATATGAAAAATATGTTTGTTGCTACCCTCACAGATGGAAAGCTGAGGATGAGGATCATGATGATGATGATGATGATTCCCAATATTTTGGCGAATAGAATCGATTGGGTTTAGTTTACAATTATGTGAAACCCACAACCCTCCGCATTTTTGGAGAGTACCGCAGAGTGGCAGCCCCAACAACAACCCACCCAACAGCTATGACCGTAGTCGCCGTAGTAGGTTTATTGTTGGGTTTACCCAGAAAGTCTATTGATGATTCAAAACGAAAATACTTTCACCACTTTTCACCAACCAAACTGGGGTTTACTCAACCCGTGGTTGAGCATACCCTCTCATTGGGAAGCGGCAGTCACCTGCATAGCAAGGTATGGGAGCTACACCAGTCCATCGGGCATCAACGCTGAGGCGGTGCGGCTGTGGTGGGCTGTGGCTGGGGGTGGTAAAGAAATCCCATGTGTTTTGCGTTTAATGTCGTTGCGATTTTCCATTTAAGTTAAGTTAAGATTAAGCCCCCATGTCTTGAACGTGAAAAGAAGCGTAAATACCCTTTGGTTATTTAACATAGCCATGGAAAATCACATTTTTTTATAGGTAAACCATCTATTTCTATGGGCCATCTATACCATGGCTATGTTAAACAACCAGAGGGTAGAATCCCCATCTTTGGGCGGATGAGGCCAATGAGCTGCGAGCGTTGGAGCAAGCCGTCAGCGCTTCTTTGACGTTGGCAGGAGAGCCTTGATTTATCGATGGAGGGATGGCTATGGCTATGGGGGTTGCCATGCCTTGCGCGGATCCCTCTCTCTCTCTCTGTGTATATATATATATATGTATGTATACACATATAGGTGTATATACAAATTAAAAGAAAAAGTATGCGACCACACTAAGTCAAGATAGACAAGTTGGGAATATGATGTATTGTGTACATGAATTTTCATCAAACTATAACACCTCCTGGAAACACTTGCAGCATTTGTTTGGTGATGGCTACAGATTTAGGATTTCTTGAGTTGGTTTATTTAAGATTTGTTGATCCAGATTTTATGAATATGTTCAGTTGGTCTATTTACCGTCCTTCCCATTTGCAATTAAAGTTAACGTGCAATCACACCACAAAACACCAAGAAAAACGATCTGAAGTGGTGAGCACGGGCGGTGAAGCTTTAAGAAGTTCACCCCACTTGAAAAAATAGATACCCTTATTCAACATAGCCATGGAAAATTACCATTTTTTATAGGTAGACCATCTATACATGGGCCATTTTCCATGGCTATGTTAAATAACCAGAGGGTAACATTAGATAACCCTTCCCCACAGTGAGTGGGTTCAGCAAGATGCTGAACTCCCGGAGAGGGCGATTGGACAAACGCGTGCAACATGTTTCGGCTCCAAATAGAACGTGGTGGTTGATTTGTGTTTGACAACATGTTCAAGCCTTTTTTTCAAGAAAATATTCAGCTAAATTCAAGCGATTAAATTAAACAATGCAGCATGACAATTTCAACAGTCCTAGGCAGGGAGGACCTTCTTTATATTTGAACATATGGGTTTGTTTTAGAATAGGGTACCATCCACCAAATTTGACTGATCGTCAATCAGAATTTTCCCTTTAATAAAGTACCACATAGTACTGTACCACTTTTGATCACCCCTATCTTCAGACAGACCCATGTCCTTAACATGACCATCGTTTTTGCACTAAGGAGCACACCAGTCCACTCTTTGCGGCCACGGTTCATGGCGCATACCAGTCGGGTCAGCGTGCTGCGACGGACGTCATCAATGGCATGCCGTCGGCCTCGGCTCTTTCGGCCTCCAAAGACTTGCCACTGGCGGTGTTGCTCATGGCGTTGCTGTTGTCCTGGTGATGTGAGAAGTGGCCAATGCGCCAGCGGTCATCTTGACCATGGCAATATAATATATATATATATTATATATGTATATATGCTGGCTGAGTTTGTGTGTTTGGCTATGTTTAGCTATAGAGATTGTTTTGCCCCCCCTATGAGATGCAAAAAAATCCTCCAGCAAACACTTCTATGGTTCTGGGTCGAGCTCACCAAAGGAGTGGCCATTTGACCTTTCGCCAAGAGGTGAATCAATTCTTTTTGCAGTGCCGCCAGTGCCCTGTTTTTTTTTTTGGCAGCACGAAAGTATACCAATAATTTGATGTGCTTCTGCCCTGGATGCTTGGAGGGACATGGATGAATCATATGGAGGTGGAGAGGAGCAGTCGCAAGAGATCAGCAATGGTGCAAAAAGACACCGGAGCTATTGTGCAAATAAATACAAAGAACAGATTCAGTGTCTTTGCAGCATCAGTCAGATTTGTTGCTTAAAAAACATCTAAACACATGTATTTATACAGAAAGGACTTGCATTTCACATAGAAACTACTCACTGAAATGTGCCCTAGCTGTGTACCAGCTCCAGGTGACATTCCCATGACGCTTCCGCAGTATGTTTCAATGGGGAATCGCCTTCATTTGAATGGGAAACGCTTTAAAGGTGTCCTTGGAATCAACTCCAAAAACATATGCACTATACCATCAATCCTGGAAATTGTTGGCCAATCTGAAAATCAAAGCCGGAAGCCTTTTACATTTGAGGTCAAAACCATGGGTTACCCATCCCAACCCACATTTGGAGATTGAGCAGTGACCAGTTGACACCTACCTATGTGGGGTTCAACTCAGGGGAACGATGAAAACTGGACGGGAGGTACCCCATGTTGGTAAATCCAGTGAAATCACGGGAGTACCCAGCCTGGTAAACATAAAGCATCAAAAAGCTATGGAAAATCACCATTGATAGTGAATTTTCCCATGAAAAATGGTGATTGTCCATAGTTATGTAAACGTTTACCAGAGGGTAATGGTGATTGGATTTCCCGCATGTTTTTTCTCCTAAAACCAACGCAGTGAACCAAGCAGCCATGGGAATGGGATCAGCATCGGCCGAAGGCCTTGCTGTTGACGCGGGCATCCGTGTGTTTAGTTCGAGAAAAGAAGGGTGGTAGAGAGGACCGAACCTTGATCTTACCTGGGAATGGGTAAATCCTCTACATGGTTTCCCTAAAAAAAGAGAACCCCCCAGTGATGAGGTGGTTTAAAGGGGGTTCGAATCCCATGTAAGTATAGAGTTAGCCTATAGTTGTACTGGAAGTTTGACGATTTAAGTGGGAAAAGTAGTTGTGAAGACTACAAATTGTATCTTTTTTTGGGGGGGGAAAGGCAGGGTATCTAAGTCGAGCCATGCACACTTTCAGAAAATTAGGAACAACAATAAATTTTGATGAATAAGAAAAGTGAACAATGAGGAATAATTATGAATATCTGAACAATGATGAATAATTAGGAGCAACAATAATTTGTATAACCTGGAACAATGATGAAGAACGTGCCAGTCTAAAAATCCACGCTCCTCGGCCTTCCCAGGCTTGACATCAGGCTCACATGCCGACATCGACAAATGCATTCGTTATAAAAAAAAATACCGACATGGGGGGGGAATCATCCCAGATGACATCGGCGTAGTGTGATGTGACATCATTTGTCTTGATATTGTTGGAAAAGTGTGTGGATCTAATATGCTCCACCTGAAAAGCACAGGGTCCCTCATGTTCAAAACGAGAATCATTGTCCAACGTTTTTGCATGTTTTTGTCATGTCTACTGCAATCATAACTTTCATAGTTGATTCAGGAATGAAGGAACAAGGATGTACCGTGATGTACCTCGCTTTTGCTCTACAGATCATGATTGGTATAGTCAGCCTCAAAAATGGAAGCGTGTACTGCACCATTCTCCCTTTAAGCAGGAAATTCCTCGTGTATTCTTTTGGGGGGTGCTAAGCTCAACTTCTCTATTGATCATCTTAGCGTGTTACAGCTTTGCCTAAGCCTAGGTCGGCGGTGCATGCAAAATGCTGGACACACCTGAGCGCGGTCACACCACCCTCAGTGATTCGTTGGCTTCAAATATGGAACCTTAAAATTACCTACTTGGTGGTTCATCCCACTTAGTAAGAGAGTTATAACCCCAATTATAAGTGGATTAACCCTACTTATCCCATTTATAACTGGGGTCATAACCCACTTACTAAGTGGGATGAGCCACCAAGTAGTTTTGTCATGTTTTGTCATTTATATGGCTATGGGTCATGACCTATGGGACATCAGGAGGATCACCATCTACCAGCGATTTGGATGTTTACCAATGTACTGGGGTACCGCTCGCCATATGGAAACCAATGGTTTTTGGGGCATTTATCTATCTATCTATCTATCTATCTATATATATATGTATGTATGTATAGATAGAGTTATATAAGTCATATATGCTGCGCCTGCCTCTTTGTTTCTTATTTGGGAAACATTGGCCTGAGACCTGGCATCCAAACGATCCCCTCAAAATTGATCAACATTCTTTGCCCGGAACCACTGGTCCAAGTGCTGGATAGAATTACAGAATAATAGAATCATGGGCTCCTAAAGGCCGCAGGAATTTAACATTAGGGCTATGGGATTAATTAATGATGAATTAGTTGAAAAGCGACAACTTGAGATGGTTCGATGGAGGTCAAGTGCTTTCGGCTACAGGACCTGGTATGTTTATGCCCAAGCATGTATCATGCGCACTACATATGGACAAGATAAATCAAGATAAGACACACGAATATCATGAAGTGGTGTGAGGAGGGACCGTCTCGCTACAAGACATGCAGAAACGTGCCATATTTAAATCCTGTGTATTGACCATGTTCGTTTTGAAGACCATAATCACGTTTTGTGCGTGTTTCACTTCTTCACATCATTTCGCTTTGTCGCAAAGTTTTGTATCCCAACATTTTGATGGTCGACAGTTTGCCCAGGAATGAAGATGGCCACTCGGAGGGTATAGCCTATTTTCAGACGAATCTGTTCAATCCTAACACTGATATATTTGATACTGGTTGGTGGTGACTGGAACATTTGGATTATTGTTCCATATTTTTCCCATCATATTGGGAATGGAATGTCGTCCCAACTGACGAAGTCCATGATTTTTCAGAGGCCGCTGCCAAAGGCACCAGGTCGAGACACCGTGCGGACCGACAACGTATGGCAGCGATAAAATGGGGAGCTTGCGAAAAGACCAATGGTATTTGACAGGGATATTCTACATAGCCAGGCCATGCCCATCCATGCCCAATATATTAGAATTATATGTATGTAGTGCAACGCAATGCAATAAAATGTACAGTAATGTAGTTTAGTGATGTTTAGTGATGTTTAGTGATGTTTAGTGTAGTACAGAGCAGTTTATTGTAATGTAAACGTATGTATGCGTGTATATTAATTCCGTGTTGACTGACCGAAGTGTCAAACGTTTTTGGTCCCTGAGGATGGCTGCACTTAGGATTTGGGATGAACCCTCGTTTTTTTCAACTGTTTCTCGTGCTTTTTCTGGTGCCCTTCTGGTGCCCACTGATACAGCGAATGGGCAGTACACAATATATAGGTGTATATAGTACCCATCTTAATTCTTGAAGTTGGAAGAATCGGATTTCATATTCTACTCTGACACATCTTGATTTTGTGAGTCCCTTTCATCGGGTTTTCAAACCTGTGATGACTCAATTGTGGGATGGTCATACTACCATCACTGGGTAATCACAAATTCATCTACGTGCTGTATGATTTCCAAAAAAAAATGCGTTTCTTTTCTCCCTCAATAATGACATACAATGACCATATTATATCATATTATATCGTGTATGTATATATATATACAATGTGGTGCATGGTTTACAAACCCCATCAACTCTGGGCAATTTAGAGCGAGCCCAGACGAGGTGCGAGGAAGACATAGCAAATTAACGAGGCGATGTCACTAATTCACACACTAATTCACGCGCCGACGCCACGAAGTGAGGCTTCTTGCTTACTTTTTGAGTGAAAGATGGACCAACAAAAACACTTTTCAGAGGCTGAAAAGTGTTTTTTTCTTATTGTTTGATCGCAATTGCAATGCTTCTATCAGGTCTTGAGGGGAATAACGTGTTCAACTTGTAAAACGTTGTTTTTTTCACATATTATATACTTTTTGACTGAGGGCTTACTTTTTGAGTGGACGGTAGACAAATAAAAACTGTTCAGAGGCTCAAACAGTTTCTCTGGTTGTTCGGTCGCAATTGATGCTTCTATCAGGTCCAGAGGGGAATAAACTGTTTGGTTGTGACAATGTGACAAGTTGACAAGTTTTTTTCCATATACATTGCTTGGCAAAAGAAGAAGAGCGCCGTCTTGATCTGTTAGGCAAAGGTACGAGCCCACTAATTCCCCAACCCTTAACTAAAGGGGCGAGGTAAAACGTCACACATGCGAGTGAATGACGAGGTGACAAGGTGCGAATCATTCTAAATTGGCCAGATTATCTATAGTTCAGTAATGTTCAATATATATATATAATATATATATATATATATCTATTATAGACTCTAGTTGTATGGATTATCTTAAACACAAACCAAGCTACGCAAGCTCTCTAGCACCACCTTGTACCGTCTACCTTGACACAACTTGTTTCATACCCCAACTCCCTCCAAGACCAAATTTTCCAATTAAACTCTAAAACCATCCTTGACTATCTGAATTGGCAAGGGATGTTCTCTAGGGGTCTGTTGGAAATGTTATCGAATTCAGGGTGATGTGGCAATGTGAGTAAAGCAATAATAAACCATCCCCAAAATTACCATTTTGATGGATGGTATAAACATGTATAAGCTGTATAAGTCATCAATTAGCCATCAATGATCACCATTAATTATCATTATTAACCACTAGTAATTAGTAACCACTAAAATCCAATGATTAATAACATTAGCTA